CCTTGCAAAAAGGTTTCAGTTTGGTGTTTTAACATCTTAACACCTGTGTTATTGCCGGAAAGGGTAAAACCTATTTTATATGAGTTGTGCATATTCAGTTGCACAATTATTTTCTGTAAACACGAGCCGTTTTTGTGAAAGATACTTTTCTAAAAATAGAATAATAACCACCTTCCGCTGCGTTACCTCGACTTTCCACTCCCATTCTGTGCATTGAAACATATAAATGCAGTACAGTGTATATCCATTTCCCGCTAACATTACCCAATTATATTCCAATGGTACACAACCATGCTTTTATTGATTTTGTTTTAAATGCACGTATTAAAGGTTTACTCTGGAAAACAAGTAACAACACATATACTCATTGAACACATTATTTATTGTTCTTCTCATACACCTCCCATTAACATGGTTGGCTACGTATGGTGCGAAAGAGGTTCAACATACATCCGTCCAATGCCCAGTCGCTAGCGTACCGCACTCTAAACTTAGCGTGCTGAGTTTGATTCCTAACCCCCACTCCGCCACCCACTGTCCTTCACCAACCCACGCTGCCCAGTGTGATTAAGGACTGTGTGGTCAAACAACTCTCAGGGGTGATATAGCCTAGGGAGGCCTCCATCCATCATTGGATTGAACAAAAAATGGCTGTAAAAATGTATTTATAACTTGTGCATGATTTGTGTAGTACACACATTTTTCACTTCATACGTCTGCAAAGATCAATACGCACACGTCACGACATTATAAGCACACTTTGCCGATGACCCAAGTTAACCGGGTCCCCCTCGCATGCACAAACGGCTTTTGGCGAACCATTGAACAAAGGTGGGCATTGCATCGCGCGCTTTCAGATGGGCTTCTACGCAGTGCAGGATTATCCTCGTAGCAAAAGTAGCTACATATGCTACGGTCCCCGCATTTTCAAGGGCCCCGTGCTAAATGCTTTCAAGTTATCAATTCAAGTTCAGTGATTCTGCACTTGCTCTGTGTCTATACTGCCTTCAACTTTTATGAACGATTGGGTGTTTAATATTAGCGATTGGTCGTATTATCTGGCTGTATAGCATTGGCATGTTCTCTTTACGTGACAACCCTTACTAATTGGCTGTCGGGTGGTGGCGGGTTTAACGACCCATATTTACGCGATCTAACCCAAAATAAACCTGTATTATGGATATTGGTAGCGCAAGCCCACGTGTTAAACCGACACCTACATTTTTGCACTGTGCCTCTACGTTATTTGCTTCCCACCTTCACCAACCCTCACTGACCAACGTGGTGAAGTATGGTCAGATAACCCCCACAACTAACATGGGGCATGATGGGGGGGGGCGCATTCACCAGCGGATTGACAAAGATCGACACGTACGCTTGTAATTACAACGAATTTCGACACGTTCACAATACGTCCATTATTCACTTTTGCCGTCGAAAGAACCGAGCGTGTGGAATCTGTGCACAAACACACAATTTTAATCCCCAACTTCCTGACCTTTGAAGCGAATTTTTTAAAATCTTTGTTGCCATTTCCTGCGGTTGCCATCGGGAGGAATGGGGCGGGGGGTGGTTCATGACCCCGACAGGGTTTACTCTGAGCGTGTTTATACGAATAACAACAAGCAACGTGAAGTTGCGTTGACGAAGCGAAGCGCAGAGCCGGTCTCCTGCCACCACGTCGCCCCGAAGAACCAGGCCGGAGGAGGGGGGGTGCAGACGGCGCCTCGTGGAGGTCCATGTACGCTGAACTTCTTTCGCACCGTACGTAGCCAACCGTGCCCATCGGAGGTGCGCAACAATCGTCGCGTGCGCGGCAGACGAGGCACGGGAACTGAACGACTGAACAAGCGGCTTCACCGCCATCTCTCTCTCTTTCTCTCTTCAGCACCGGCATTTATAATCATTATTATTACGTGGCTTCTGCCTGCGCAGAAGACAATATTGTAGCGGGTTGTGCCTAATCGTGTTCAAATAAGGCACGTGGCGTGCTGCTGCTGCTCTTATTGTCCGCGCACCTGGAGAATGAAAAAGGATGCCCATTTGCGAATGTGGCGAAGTGCAATCCGTTCATCGCTCGAGCGTGCATTTGACATTTATTTATTGCGCATCTTACACGCGGATAGGCACGAGCGCGAGGCATCGAGCTGCTCCCGATGCCCTCGGGTGGAATTGCCAAGACTCAACACGCGCCTATGGCTATTCTGCCGGTTGCTTTTGCAGAGTAAAACGTAAGACAAAGAGCACAAGGTGGCTCAAGACATTGATTGCATCTGGCGAACGAGCCACTTTATCCTCTTTCCAAGTGGAAAACCACCTTGGCTGACGACATTGTGCAAAAAATACTTTTAGCTCTTGGAAGTTTAACTTTGGGTAGATGTCAAAGTGTCGCGCCACGAGCTGTCGGGATGCTGATATGACGCAGGGCGCCACCTGTACCTGTGTAGAGGAGTAGTTGATGACGTGATGTCACCCTGGGATAGAAAAAGCTGGGACCCGTGACGTGAACGGGGTCGTCGTCGGGGCCAGGAACGGGAGAGGTTGTGGATCGGGACCCAGGGTAGGGTGATCCCACACGAGGCTAGGGTGGCTGCTTCCCCCGGCCGGCCGATGTTGATTGAACCCTCGGTCGGTGCATTGGGAAGAGCCCAGACAGCCGGGGGGGTGTTAGGATTCCCAGTACCCTTCCCCTGGGGAGAAATATACTATACTCTTTGGTTCTCTTCGGTAATGTCACGTAGGTAAAAAATAAAAAAAATAAAAAAAATCACGACGTTTCGGCCACAACACAAGCGGCCTTCATCAGGTGAAGGGACCAGACCAGACTGTCTCGAGGACAGCGCTGGAGTGAAACAGAGCCACGCTCAGACCGCGACCTTCCTCGAGACAGTCTGGTCCCTTCACCTGATGAAGGCCGCTTGTGTTGTGGCCGAAACGTCGTGATTTTTGTTGTCTTATTTTTTACCTACGTGACTTTACCGAATAGAACCAAAGAGTATGGATCCTTGCAGTCACGAAAGTTTCAAATCGAGGAATATACTAGCCGTCCACTGTTAGGCGTAAGCCCCTATTAAGTTCCTAGGCGTAAGCCCCTAATAAACCTTGGCATCAGCCCTTACGAAGATCTGCGTCAGCGTCGTCTCTTGCACCACAACACCTGGATACGGTAGAGTCTCATAGCGCATCGCAATCTTCCTCCGCCTGGGTAGAATTTTTTGTTGTATGGCTGCCGCTGCTGCTGTTACTACTACGAACATTTTCTGTTATTTTACCAAGGTAAGGCCAACTGAGCTATATAGTTCTAGTTCAGAAGCGACCCGACTATCACAAATGATCGCTCAACGAAGTGGCTTATCTCATGGAAATGTATTGCAGCCAAATAGCCTAAACGCATGTTTTTAATTGTCGAGGGTAAAAAACCGGAGGACCCGGAGAAAAATCCACGCGACCACAGATTATTAATCCTTTTAATAGAAACAGGAAGACGTTGAGTTTTTTTTAAATAACATCCCTTGTAACAAAGTAGAAATGGTATATTAAAAGTAATGTTATGCATTCATAATTTTTGTTCAATATAACACATCAATAATTTACTTAATCTCTTATTGTGTTATGACATCATATGCACACCGTATCAGGGCTGAATAATGCAGCACGAATTGGATTTACAGAGCGTCGAAATACAAGTGCGGTGGAGCGGTGGCGCAATGGTTTAGCACATTGTAATATGAACCTGGCGACCTGCTTTTGATTACAGCCAATGGCTACCATCAGTAGTGACATCTTAAGCGTTTATGGGCCCTCCCCAACACGCCTTCACCAACCTGTACTGACCAGTGGTGTGGTGAAGTGTGGTCGAACAACCCCCACGACCAACAGCGTTGGGAGGCCTTCATTCAGCAGGGGATTAGACAAAGGACTGTGAATAATTACAGTATTTATAAATGCAACGGCATGAAGATGGGGTACCATAAGGTGGCACGCACATCATGGGGGGGGGGGGGGAGGTGGTATTTTATATGACATATAAATATAGATGGGCAAAGGAGATGAGACACGTCTTGAGTCTGGACTTGAACAGGGGCAGGAAATCAACAGTGTGGATGGATAATGAAATCGTGTTGCGGCTTTTTTTTAATCATCGTAAAGCAGACGCTCATCATATGCGTGTCAGACAATCTAATCAGATGTATGAACAGAGCAGATGGAGCAGATGCACTACTCTGTGTGTGATTTTACACGTTTAACAATAACGCAGGCTCCACTGCACACCATCGGTGGAAATTCTGCACTCTACATTCCTCCGCAGAATCAAAATTGCTCTTCATTCACGTTACGCAAGAGCGTAATGAGAAAATTGCAGGGAAAACAGACGTGCTTTGACGCAGGAAGTCGCTGGTTAGGCGCCCGCAGTCGTGAGAATTCAGGAATTTCAAAGGCGTTCGCGCAACCATTGGTCAAGCAAGTCGCTCTCGTTACGCTCAGGGATAGATTGAGCTTGAGGGGGGGGGGGGGGGGGGGGGGGGGGGGGGCCCTAGGCAGTTGTAGTTTTTGGGGCGCCCTCTTTGTACATTCAATTTCTTCCCTCTGCTGTTTCACCACCACAACTGCCGCCCATGGTTGATGCCAATCACTCCGTTGTTATTCAAATTGGTTATTTCCGGAGCCTTTTTTTTTCAAATGTGATGTACGATTTGAAAAAGCTAAATCTAAGGGCAAAAATTACGATCAAAGCTATTTAAATTTTCCGCATGCAACCGGTAGTAGTACACGCGGTGACACTACGGCTCTAATTAATAAATGGCACTGTAGAGTTTATATCATAGTGCTACATTATTGCGTGTCAACTATTATAAAGCAATGCATTTATATATGTTTTCGGGAGGGGGGGGGGGGTCCTTCACAATCTGAGGCCTCATGTTGCAGCCCCTAAAGCCGCTGCGTGAATCCGGCTCCGCCGACTCGGCTATTCCTTTGATCGCATTGACGAACACAATATCTTTATTTTTATCTGTTTATTGCTCGCAGTTACACAACAACAAAAACCACTGTAAGTAAAGTGGTGCATACAAACTCTCTGAATAAAACTGCACAAGACAAATAAATATCGGCTCATGTCTTTTTTGGTTGGAGGGGGGTACAAGCTCATAAAATGAATGATGACACTGTTAAGAAATGAACAAAACAGCTGATCATTTTCTTGCGTGAATTCGATGCAGGGTTTGTGTATTTTCCCCTTTCAGCATATGTTGTGTCCGGATTTATTACGTGCATTTGAATGACGGTTTTCCAATACTGAATGCTATTTGCATTGCACTCAGTGCAGTAAAAGCCACTGTCGGTGGAGCTAGAGACATGCGTGTGTTGTGTGTGTCCATGTGTTGTGTGTGTCCGTGTGTTCCACCTGCGTGGGAGAAACAAAGGCAGCCGGGCGTGGTGCTGGCCCCTTGTGCACCATACCAACCTGTATAATAGGTGCTCGCTAACAGTCCTTGCATTGACAGTCTATTGTATTCGGAATGCGTGCGTGACAGCACGTCACTTGTCAACGTCCACTTGTGCAGACAGCTGGCGAGTTTTTTTCTGATTCCGGGCAAAGTCTACAGGCCCCCGACAGGATCTGGAAAAATAACACAAAATAGGAAAGAGAAATAACAGAATGTGCAAACGGAATTGCTCTTTCCAATGTCTTCTTCGATATCATCCATGACATACGTAGACCATTGCTAGCTTCACCAGAACACCTTTCAGGTCGTTCAAATGAACAGGGGCGCCGTGGTGGTGAGATGTTAACTACACCTCGCCTAGTATACAGGTCGTGGATTCGATCCCGACAATGACGCCTGTATATATTTGTTCTCCCCGTGGTTGCGTAATTTTTCTCGGGGTCCTCTGGTCAGAGTATTTGGCTGCTATACATTTCCACTTGATAAGCCACTTCATTGAGCTATCATTTGTGGCAGCCAGGTCGCTTCTGAAAAACGAGCTGCAGTATATATCTGAGTGGGCCTTACCTGTTAAAATAAAATAAAAATGTTAAATAGTTAACAGCATTGCAGTGCCAAATAAAATCACTAACAGTGACTCTGGGGAGGGCACGCTCAGAGGCACGAAGCCACGACGAGCCCTCACAACAACCAACTCACGAATGCGTCCCACGCCAATAGAGAGAGAGAGAGGACACCCCAGACCAATGCTCCCAACTTTAGTTGTTCACACAATTAGTTTCCTGAGCATACACCCGCGCCCCCCCCCCCCCCCCCCCCCCAAAGGCACAAACACCTCAAGCGGCACTATCGAGGTTGTTAATGGGTAAGGTGTAAACAAAGCAAAATTTTTGTTGTTGTTTTAAGAGCTTGGGAAATGAGACGCTGGGAGTCATTGCCAGAGTGGCGCAGCGCGAGAGACGAAGCGGCAGCGTGTGACCTGCACGAGCGCCGGTGGCTGAACAATGGATGAGACGAAAGAGTCTCAAGACAACAGACAGCACGGATAAAGGCTCTCAGCCTGCTGCAAACACACACGTGCGTTGTTGTTGTTGTTCTCATTTGTGTCTTGCGTATGCATGTTGCACTTCTTTCGCACCGTACGTGGTGAATCGTGCTAATGGGAAGTGCGGGTACCTTTCCTGCACAAGTTTACAGTGTCACGATGCAGTTGTCCTGTGGAGGGCTTTTCCCATGACATCAGACTGCAGTACTGTACTGTCTTTTCCACATGATAATTAAGTCTTAAAACGTTCGTGACTGCAGGAATTCATATTCTATGGTTCTTTCGGTAAAGTCACGTAGATATAAAATATAAAAAATAAAGTGAATGCAAAATAATACAAATATCACGACGTTTCGATCGCAACACAAGGGGTCGTCATCAGGAACACTTTATTTTTATTATTTTATTGTTATTATTTTTTCTATCTACGTCACTTTACCGAAAGAACCATAGAATATGAATAAGTCTTCAAAGGTTAGCGTTTGGGTATTAATCTTCCGGTATATAACAGTAGTCGTGTTATTCTTATTGGTGACAATTCTCACCAGCTCAGTAGAAACAACTAAGCCTCGGAGAGCCAATCAATGCATCCTCGCCAGACAAATTACACAATCCACATTCAAATCCACCTATATAAATGATGGAACACAAAGTAAATTATATTTCAACAGAGTTGTAAACGTTTATAGTTTGTCTCACTAAACATTCATTTGGCTTAAGCTACACGACAACAAAAACACATCCAGACAGGTCTTATAGATACAACCTCTGGGTGGTTTCATTCGCAGCAGTTGTACGTTGTGTTGATAAGAACAATACGTTAAAATGCACTGCCAATCACGGAATTATAGCGCCGTGGTGTGACATCACCGTGACATTACTCCCATACACTTTATGAAAACGTCAATGCAGTGACGTCGTCGGAGTAATAGCCTCTGGTGGGTATCCGCCGTTCGACTGCGTTCTATCCAGTCATAGCTGCTGGGTGGAAGAGAGTTTGGGGGAGATTAAAGAAACTTGCCCTCATCACTTCAACCTGCCGTATCGCCGGAAGATCAAATTGAACCGACGACCTCGGATTGCAAGTCCAGCGTGCTAACCGTTTCACCGTGGCAGATAATCCGGCCCACGGGACAATCAACGAGTTAACTCCACACGTGTTCAGTTTTGCATAAATATAAAACAAATAGCCATTAAAATTGCATTTGTGCCGCGTCGTTTTCCCCAAGGACCGCTGCGGCGGTGGCCGTGAGATCGTTACCGGCCCTGCCGCGGCACCGCAGCTTGCCAATGGTGTGGTAGGCCATCTCGAGCGGCGCGTCCCGCGTGTCTCCCAGGTGAAGCGCGCGCAGCGGCAGCGCGGCCCGCGACGTCAGCAGGCCCTCGTCCCCGCGCCAGATGTGGTCGTTGGCGTCGCAGTTGCACGGCTTGCCGGGGGCATAACATGAGTCTGCAGCAGCGGCAGTAGACGTTGGTCAACATGCATGTATGTTCTTAGCTCTTTCGGTAAAGACACGTTGAAGGGAAACAATATAATATATATATAAAACAATAAAAATTCTCACGACGTTTCGACCATAACACAAATGGTCATCATCAGGTGTGAAAAACCAACGGCAAGAATCATTTGAAAGAAGTGTCAAATGTTTCTTGCCGTTGGTTTTTTACACCTGATGACGACCGTTTGTGTTATGGTCGAAACGTCGTGAGAATTTGTATTGTTTTATATATATTTTATTATTTTATTGTTTCCCTCTGCTTGAAACGAACCCGGGTAGCCAGGTTCATAGCAAAGCACGCTAACCTCTAACACCACTGGTGTCCCTACATTAATCCGCACTCCCCCCACAGTCAACCCTGGGTACAATGTCAGCAACTTTTGGGAATTTTACTTTGAATAGAACTGTGTTATTGAATAAGTGTTTGACTTTTGCACGGTTTTTCTGTTACTCAATGTCTTTTATATTCTTGGTTCTTTCGGTAAAGTCACGTAAAAGGGAAACAATAAAATAATAAAAATATAAAACAATAAAATTCTCACGACGTTACATGAAAGAACCAAGAATATGAATCCCTGCAGTCACGAAAGCTTTAAATCAAAATTCAATGTCTTTTGTTCATGTAATACTGCTCATCTGGACACAATATTAAAATAGTATTTATCTCAGCGCCCTGTGGTGTATAGCACAGTCTCCAACTATTACTCACTCTCTTTGACCTCTCGATTATATTCTTGAGTATGATGGCAATATCTTCAGGAGCTCAATGCCAATACTGAGGTCTGCTAGCCACGAGTGGGCTTCAGGAGCGAGTTCGTGCAGTGTTGCTATTCCTCCATTGAAGGAGCTATGACTACGGTGGTCCATAGTTTGAGTTTCATGGCCAAAGTAGCATTGTGGTTATCTCTCTATTTAAGTGCTACGAAAGAGGCCTATTGCCCGACACGTCGGCCATTATATTTTTGTTCACCATCAGGCATGCTCAATCCACTGCTGCATGAAGACCTCATCAAACTGCAAACACCTCTCACGACCCTGCGATGCAACAATCTATCCAGCAGCTACAAATGACCTTATTTCATTGATCCATCTCCGAGATGGACATCCCCTCGGACGCGTTCCATTCCTTGGCTGCCACTCTGTTATTATTCTTGAACATCATCCAAGCCAACCTTTTTTCCTTTTAGGAAACACAAATCACGGAAGATGTGGATACCGAATGCGCGAGTGGAGAATAAGACTCGATCTCCTGTGTGCGACTGCATCTACAAACTCCAACACATGGACCACATAACTTGACACTGCCCAAAAATATAAAATTGAAGGCCGTGTGTTTTTGCAATTCACCAACTCTCAGACAAAGCAACTGAATGGCTAAATTCCTTTGAGATGATTCTCAAATAGTGGCTCTTCATTGACCATACGAACTCATCATCATCATCAGGGCAGTGTTATTGACGCACGCGTCGAGTCTGTGGGTCTGACGCTGCGTCTCACCGGTCATGCCGCACGCACACTTCCCGCTGCCCGGCTCGGCCCCTCCCCAGTGGAACATTCTCCGTCCGTCCCACGACACCCACCATCCCCAGCCGGCCCCCAGGAAGCGGATGTGGCGACAGTGGAGCTGCGACGGAGCGAGAAGGTTTCGCTCATCCTCGGCCGCTCCGCGTATTGCTGGATCGATACGACGACGACGACGCGCGTGCGTGCGTGCGCGTGTGTGTGCGGCGTACGAGCACCAGTGAGAGGGAACGTGCAACCGGGAAGACCAAACTCAAGTTCAAATTGAGGTCAATACTAGGAGAGCCAATTCCACGGCTGTCCAGTCGCATACGGCATATCCGCCGTCAACGACTGACAAGGAAGGCAGCTGTGCGAAGAAAGCTGTGTTGTTTACGGTGCGTAATATGTGACAGCCCGCTGCATGAATGCGGGGAGCAGGAGAGCATGGAGCACATTGTCTCTGGCTGTGAAGTGGGTCATAGCGTGCTGGGCGGACTCGTTGCCCTGCACGTGCTTGGAGGCGGATGCTGTCACGTGGCTCCGTGGCTACCTACGTGTGCTGACGTCCACTCGCATATAACACCGGCATACATGTGTGTTTATTATATATTTTTTTCTTGTGTATATTGTGCTCCAACTGTATGAAAGTCACGTGTGAAAGCATTCGCCAAATAAAAATATGGAAAATAGAGGTGCGAACTATTGACAGCAGATGCCCCGTGTCTGGCGCTGGCACAATATTGGTGGTCACCGTGACGTGCTGCTCGCAGTCGCTGGAGACGGCGACGAGTGCTCGGATCTGGTGGAACTTGGCGTCGTAGCGAACGTCGCGCCGGTAGCAGCCGGCCTCCTCGCACGGGGACACGCGTATGCGCGCCTCACTATCGTGGCCGACCTCGGTGACCCCTGGTGGACGCACAGGCAAGGGAGGATCCGAGTTTTAAACAAGAATCCCCGATATGAGTATTGGGTTAAGCCACGTAATGATACGATTAACTACGTGTCGTGAACCCCTCCTCCACCCGACAAAGGCGTTTAAACGCACCAATGATTATATTTATTATTACTGAGCGGGTCGAGTCAGCGTTTAAACTGCAGGCGACGGTGACACCGGCTGAGTGGAGTGGTGGAGCAAAGTGGTGTTGCGCTTCAGACCATGTGACGCTACAGCACACGGGCCGAGTGCTGATAAATAGTTGACGGCGTAAATTTTGAAGCGGAACATGCGTGTGAAGCATTCTCTGAGGTTTCTAAGAACCCTGTAAAAAGATCATCTGATTCAGGGAGGCATGGAAAGAATCACCCCCTCCAGCAAACTGATGCATTGTCACAATTCAGGGTCTTAAAATCAACTCAAGAAGTGGTGAATGGTTCTTTTTGTCTAACTCAGGGGTCAGCAACCAAAATAACAATAAGATAAAAAAATGTGAATTCAGTCAAAAAAACTCAAATATTTCAAGAGCCGCAATGCTTGTGAATACGAGACGGTGGTTATTGATAAAGAACGTGACGAAGCAGTCCTGAAAGAGCCGCATGCAGCTCCCGAGTCGCAGCTGGCTGACCCCTGGTCTTGCTTCGAATATTTAGTTTAGCATTTTTTTTCTCGTTTTTGTGCTTCGTTTGTATAAGTATAATTTAAATCTTTATTATTATGAATTTTAATCTTGATTTGAAGCTTTCGTGACTGCAGGAATCCACACTCTTTAGTTCTTTCGGTAAAGTGACGTAGGTATAAAATAAAATAAGCTGAATGGAGCATTACCGCATTATTTGCCTATGTTTTGTGTAAATTCCCAACAAATAATTATCACAATCATTAATCGATGCGTGCACAGTGAGCGTAAGAGATTGATTTAAATCGCTCAATTGATGTATCCTTACAGCCTATCTGCTCAAAATTAAAATGTATTTGTGTGGTGGCAGCGGGCATCTGTATGGGCTGAAGCATACACTCTGCCCACGGCTGCCCACAGCCGAGCACGGGCACCTGAGGCGGGGTCGGAGGTCATGTCACAGAACACCTCGAACGGCGCCGCCTTGCCACTGGGCCCGTCCGGGTCCACGGTGTACCTCCCGGACAGCAGCACGCCGGCCTCCCTGAGCGCGGCGCACGACTCCAGCACGGCCGGCCTCGCCCCTGAGATGGCAACGCGACACCGCCGCATCACGCGCCGCCGCGCACTGCTCGGCCGCGCGCTGCGCCCGTCGCATGCATTATTCACGGCCGTCAGACGCCGCCGCTGATGCTGCCCCCCCCTCCCGCCCCGGCCTCCCCTCCTTCACCCCGCACCCCACAGAGCAGCGGAGGTGGCGGCACCACCATCGCCATTGGCATCGTCCCTCGCGTACGTTTCACGAGGGTGAGCTTGGCCGAGAAGCCCTCGTGCTCCACGGAGGCGTCTGACTTGAGCACGAGGGTCAGAGAGTTCCCCGAGCTGAGCAGCGGGAGCGGCAGCTTGAAGCCACAGAACCTGGAGCCAGAGACGCAAAGCAAATTAGAGCAAGCAACGAGAGCTGAGGCCATTATTCCGTGACGTCCCCACAGCGCTTGTGCCAGGCTCGAAACACTTTGAGGTCGTCACGTGAAGTGTCGAAGGCTGACAGGTCATGGGACAGACAAGTGCCATGGGTTGACTGTCCAGGACAACTGGCAGACGTGCCACTTGTGCTCCCGACTGCACCAACTCGCTGCATTTTAGCCACCCGGCCCTCCTCCACTCACTGTCGTGAGCGTCACTCCAAAAGACGCGCACACACGCGCTCGTGCACTGCACCTGCGCCAGTAAGCGGCAAGTCAGTGGGTGGCGAGTACCTCCCAAGGAGCCTCCTGCCGGCCCCCGTGCCGTCGTAAACGCCGAGCGAGTCGTAGTCGCAGTGGCGCCTCTCCTCCAGACCCAACGCCTGCACGGCCAAGCGCAGCGTGAACTCCGGCGGCGCCCGCACCTCCCACGTGCAGTCGGCGCCGCTTGGGTAGGCGCGCGGAAACCCCGGACTGCGGATCTCGCCGGCCCGCGTCCAGGCCAGCACGCCGCCACATGTGTCTACCGGGACACGGTCACCGTGAAATAATTTTGGTCGCATCAAATTTTGGGGAATTAATTACCGCGGCCGAGACGCCCTGACTTTTTCAGTTCAAGCCGGGTTCACGTTTCGCATGTAACACGTGCACAGGTCACGGGTTGTGCGGCCCTCCCGAGAAGGAGACATTCTTTAGTTGAAACTTTGCAAGGTCAGCCAGAATTAAAGCATCACAGGAAGAAAAAAAAGCGTGAAGTCAAACAAGGCTTAAGAGCTTAGCGAGTAAAGAGTAAATATTGGTTTTGTCATAACCTGCCATTGCGCGTTATTACGTGTCACTTTATTTCACGGCCCTTTGTAAATCCACTGCTAGATGAAAGCCTCTACTCACGCCGATTCGGAAAGGGTGATTGTTTGATCACACTTCACCCTGATCAGCAGTGCGAGTTGGTGAAGGAAGGTTGGCCCAGGACCGGCTGAGATATCACCCGCCTGCTGATGTTATAGCCGAGAACAGAACTGAGGACGCCGGGTTAAGAGGACAGTGCGTGAACCAATTCGCCACCTCTTCACCCCCGTTATATTACAATGCGTGATTGTGATACTGACAGCGTTATATAATTTATAGCGTCCAGTATTGCCAGCTCTTCTGCCATTTCGTGAGAATGCAAACAATTGTGCCAGCTCCCCACCCCCCCCGCCCCCCCCCCCCGAGAACCTCACAACGCGCACACGAGCCCCCGCCGGCCACTTTTTACCGATGGTGAGTGGCTCGGGACCGTCAGGCGGTGGCTCCGCGGTGCTGCCCAGCGGAGGCTCTGGATGCCCCCGGGACGAGTCCGTCGGCGCCGGCAAGGCGGGGGTCTGTGTGCCACCTCCGAGATTAGTGCTAGACTCCCAGCGGAGCTCCGCTCCAGATGTGCTTGAAATTAATTTATCGGCGTCCGTTGCTGGGCGCGAGACGGCAGCGGCGTGCTGTGTGCCGTGCGGCCGGCGGCTCGTGAGCTCAGTTGTGCTTTGCCGAGCGGTGGTGCCGAGTTCTCCTGCGATCGGCGGGCCGGACGGGCTCGTTACAGACGGCTTCCCGTGGGACGCGACATGAATTTCTGCCGTGGAAGTGGCGATTAGGTCGAGTTTGGTGCGAGTTCTTGAGAGACTGCTGCTCACCGCTCGATTCAAATGCGGCTGTAAATGTAGAGTGGGTTTGGAGGTGAATTCTGGCGTTTCCTGTGACACCGCAATTGGTGTCCGCAATTCAGGCATATCTGGAGGCTGTGTGTTTAAATGCTGCTCAGAGAGACTTGGTTGGGTAGTATCCTGAGGGTTTTCTGGTTTTTCAGATAGCTCATGGAAAACACTTTCCTCCATGCGTGTAGGGAGAGACCCTGTGAGCAGCCCAGGCATATCAACACTGATCGAACTGTCCATGCGGTCCATAACATCAGAATTACTGTTTTCTATTGCGACTGCAATCTGGTGGAGTGTGGTCTGCGATGCTCCACCATAAGTGGGACCGGCCGAAGCTGTCAGGCCGGGTGTCAGTGCCACCACCATCGGGGTCACGACGCTGTCGTGTTCATTCCTCGTGACCGCTTGCGCCTGCACCTGCGGGACGGAGCCGAGCGGCGAAACGCGAGCCGTCGCGTCGTGCCTTGGCGCAGCCCAAACTTTCGATCCGCCTGAATAATTCACGTTGCCCCGAGGGCCGTCGGTCTCGAGTCGCGTTGCCTCCTCATCAGCCCGCGAGGGAGCAGCAGCTGCTGTTGTTATGGGACGCGAGCTCGCCCGTTGCGCGGGACGAGGGGACGGCCGCACGCGTAAACGTGCGGCCGCGGTGCCGGCGCTCAGTGATGCCGCCCCGAGAGACGTTTTATCGTCGGCGTGTTTCTGCGCAGAATGTGGCGCCTTGCCGTCCTTTGCTCGCGTGGGCGGCGTCACCGTTGGACACGGCGTTTGTGCACGGGTGTCCGGGGTCGACGCGGTCTCACTGCTGTCAGTCGGCTGTAGTTTTTCTTGCGCCGCTGTTTGTGGGGTCGCGCGGCGACCCGCCCACGGCAGCGTGGTCGGCGCCCGCGCAAATGTTTTGGAAATGTTGCCGTGGCTGTCGATGACAGACAGCCGAGAGGCTTTGGGCTCAGACGAAGGTACAGTACTGCGGGGCGCTGTGTCACTTCTGACGTCCTGCCACGCGAGCCTCCCAGGCCTGAACAAAGCAGACATCAAATGACCTCCCGTGACACGAGCAGGCACAGTGGGGTGTGCTTGAAGTGACGTTAAATGCTCATGGCCATAAGAGGTAATTAACAACTGAATTGACTGCGTCGGCTTAGAATCTTTTGCTCCATCACTTAGCCCAAGTCTGGACTCGACGACACCCGCTGTCAAATGAACCTCGTCGTGTGCGTGGGTGACCTCGTCAATCGAGGCCCTTCCTCCGGGCCCTCCTGGGTGTTTGACCTGAACGGGCGCCGCTGTCCGTGACGGCGTGGCGGCCATGCGTGCCGCTCCGACCTTGTTCGTTTTGACAGCGTCCAAAAAAGACAAGCGCAGCTTTTCGTGATCACTGGCAGCTGCTCGTGTGATTTCGCGAGCGGTTCCCCAAAGGATTTGTGACGTCTCCTCGCTCTTTGTTGTGGCAGAAGCAGCAGCAGCTGCTACACCGCGATGCTCAGCCGACGAAGGCTGCGCGAGAGGCGCCGCATCTCCACTGGTAAACGAAGGCACCGGGGGCCTCCGCCTCTGCTCAGTGGCCACGACATCCCGCGCCGCTTGCAAATCTGCGTGCGATGCAGAAAAGGGTGACGTGGGCGGAACTTTGTAGATTTCATTCAATTTGTTAGTTGTGGGCACCGTGACCGTAGTGGTTTCGGGATCAGGCATTTCTTGACCCCATACATCCTCTAATTTTCGAGCAAGGGGAATACCAGCAGCAGCAGCTCCACTTTGCCCATCAGCATCTGGAGAGGCTACCATTGTGACTGAAGAACTTTTTCTCGTGGCCCCAGTTGTGGCGCAGCATTGAGAAGCGTGCACGACCCTCGAACTCTGCCCTCGCGTCGGGTGCGGAGGTCCGGGCGGATTGTGCGATCGCTGCGCTAACGTTTCCGAGGTCGTCGAGGTTCGGTCGACGATCGGGACAGAATTACCGTGGCCCTGCTCGTCGCCACTCGAGAACAATCTCGCTTCCTCCCGAACATCTCCCGGTGCAGTGAACGCGCGTAAATCTGAGTCGACGGTCACGGTCAGATCCTGTGAGAATTGGGCCGGGGCCTGCACGCTGGTGGCAGGGCTCTCTGGGCTGAGCGGCTCAGTCGTTGCCGCTGACGGTTTGCGATTTGCGAACGTCTCGGGCCTACTGGATTTCACAACGGTTTTCATTGCTCGCTTGATCGTGGCGAGTCGGGGCTGCGGATCAACCGCAGTGTGGACCGGCGGCAGTGACTCTGCGATCACCTGCTCAGCTCCCGCGAGCATGGGCGAAGTGTAGGGGATGGCATCCTTAGGCTTTGGTACAATGCCTGGAGGCAGAACCATCACTCGGGGCAGGAACGTTACTGTCTCCAGCAATGATTCTGTCACAAGCGATAGTTCTGTCAGCACTGATGGTTGTTTCTTCAGCATTGGTTCTGCCAATAGCGATGGTTCTGTCACAAACGATGATTCTGTCACGATGAAAGGTTCTGCCAATAGCGATGGTTCTTTCACAAGTGATGGTTCTGTCAGCACTGATGGTTGTGTCTCTAGCATTGGTTCTGTCAATAGCGATGGTTCTGTCACAAACGATAATTCTGTCACGATTGAAGGTTTTGCCAATAGTGATGGTTCTGTCACAAGCGATGATTCTGTCATGATTAAAGGTTCTGCCAACAGCGATGGTTCTTTCACAAGCGATGGTTCTGTCAGCACTGATGGTTGTGTCTCTAGCATTGGTTCTGCCAATAGCGATGGTTCTGTCACAAGCGATGATTCTGTCAAGACTGAAGGTTCTATTACAAGTAATGATTTTGTCATAATCGATGTTTCTGTCAACAGTGATGGTTCTGCCAATAGTAGTGGTTCTGTCACAAGCGATGATTCTGTCCCGATCAAAGGTTCTGTTGATAGTGATGGTTCTGTCTCAAGCAACGATTCTGTCAACAGTAGTGGTTCTGTCTTAAGTGAAGGTTCTGTCAATAGTGATCGTTCTGTCAATAGTGATGGTTCTGTCAATAGTGATCGTTCTGTCAATAGTGATGGTTCTGTCAATAGTGATCGTTCTGTCAATAGTGATGGTTCTGTCAATAGTGATCGTTCTGTCTCTATCGATGGTTCTGTCAATAGTGATGGTTCTGTCAATAGTGATGGTTCTGTCAATAGTGATGGTTCTGTCAATAGTGATCGTTCTGTCAATAGTGATGGTTCTGTCAATAGTGATGGTTCTGTCAATAGTGATCGTTCTGTCAATAGTGATGGTTCTGTCAATAGTGATCGTTCTGTCAATAGTGATCGTTCTGTCTCTATCGATGGTTCTGTCACAGTTAATGATTCTGTCAAAAGTGATGGTTCTGTCAATAGTGATGGTCCCAGTGATAATCCCGGTGATGGTCCTGCCCTTGGTGACGGTCTTGTCTCCAGTAATGATTCTACCTCCGGTGATCTTGGCGACAGCGGCATTGTCATCTGCCGTGACGGTCCTGCCTCTGTAGAAGTCTCCACTTCTGGAGATGGTTCTGCTTCTCGTGATGGTGAAGATGGCATTCCTTTCCCCGGTGAAGGTCCTGCCACTGGCGATGGCCCAGCATTCAGTGATGGTCCGTTCTCTTGCAACACTTGCGTTTCCAGAAAAGATCTTGTCCCGAGCAATGTTTCTGTCACAAGGGACGCTCTCGTCTTCGCCACAGGTCGTTCTGCCCCTCGTGATATCACTATTGACGCCGGAGAGCTCCTGGCCGGCACGTTGTCCGGCCGCGAGCTCACGTCGCTGACGCTTTTAGCTGTCGACGCGTGCCCTGTCGTGGCGGTCGATGCGACGGCCACGCCGCCGTCGCCAAAGCCGTAGCAGAACACGTCCCACCTCTCGGTGCTCGCGTTGCGCACGCCGTACGAGATGATTCCGGTGCGGTGCTGCCCGCAGCGCCACGTGGCGTGGATCCTCGGGTAGGCCACCTCGCGCGCCGCCAGCCAACCGGCGCGGCAGTCCTCCATGCCGGCGCGCATGGCGGTCGCCAGCTGTTGGCGAGACGCCAGCGCCGCCCCAAACACCTCGGCGCACGCGCGCCGTGCCTCGGGGAAGCTCAGCGAGTAACGGCGGCCCTGGTCATAGTGAAAGACGCCGGCCACGTGCCCTGCCGCGCGCACACAGAGGGACACATCCGGACGGCTATTTTGACGAGGAAACTTCATGGGTAAGGGTCAATGTCCTCTAACAAGACGAGTTTCTCTGGTCTTGCAACCAGTTATTAATTTTATCCGGGGTCTATCCAGGTTAGCAAGCTAGAACGAGTCCACACCTAGCACACCGCAGCCACAAAACGGAAAACCTGTGGAACACTCAAAACTCCACACAGATATTTTCACCAGTCCAAAACGGGGAGAAGATGACTACCTGCTTGCGGTCTTCCTTGCTACAGTGAGGGAAAAAAGTATTTGATCCCCTGCTGATTTTGTACGTTTGCCCACTGACAAAGAAATTATCAGTCTATAATTTTAATGGTAGATTTATTTGAAGTGAGAGACAGAATAACAACAACAAAATCCAGAGAAACGCATGTCAAAAATGTTATAAATTGATTTGCATTTTAATGAGGGAAATAAGTATTTGACCCCTCTGCAAAACATGACTTAGTACTTGGTGGCAAAACCCTTGTTGGCAATCACAGAGATCAGACGTTACTTGTAGTTGGCCACCAGGTTTGCACACATCTCATGAGGGATTTTGTCCCACTCCTCTTTGCAGATCTTCTCCAAGTCATTAAGGTTTCGAGGCTACGTTTTGCAACTCGAACCTTTAGCTCCCTCCACAAATTTAATATGGGACTAAGGTCTAGAGACTGGCTAGGCCACTCCAGGACCTTAATGTGCTTCTTCTTGAGCCAATCCTTTGTAGCTTTGGCCGTGTGTTTTGGGTCATTGTCATGCTGGAATACCCATCCACGACCCATTTACAATGCCCTGGCTGAGGGAAGGAAGTTCTCACCTAATATTTGACGGTACATGGCCCCGTCCATCGTCCCTTTGATGCGGTGAAGTTGTCCTGTCCCCTTAGCAGAAAAACACCCCCAAAGCATGTTTCCACCTCCATGTTTGACGGTGGGAATGCTGTTCTTGGGGTCATAGGCAGCATTTCTCCTCCTTCAAACACGGCGAGTTGAGTTGATGCCAAAGAGCTCCATTTTGGTCTCATCTGACCACAACACTTTCACTCAATTGTCCTCTGAATCATTCAGATGTTAATTGGCAAACTTCAGACGGGTATGTATATGTGCTTTCTTGAGCAGAGGGACCTTGCGGGTGCTGCAGGATTTCAGTTCTTCATGGCGTCGTGTATTACCAATTGTTTTCTTGGTGACTATGGTCCCAGCTGCCTTGAGATCATTGACACGATCCTCCCGTGTATTTCTGGGCTGATTCCTCACCGTTCTCATGATCATTGCAACTCCACGAGGTGAGATCTTGCATGGAGCCCCAGGCCGAGGAAGATTGACTGTTCTTTTGTGTTTCTTCCATTTGCGAATAATCGCACCAACTGTTGTCACCTTCTCACCAAGCTGCTTGTCAATGGTCTTGTAGCCTATTCTAGCCTTGTGTAGGTCTACAATCCTGTCCCTGACATCCTTGGAGAGCTCTTTGGGCTTGGCCATGGTGGAGAGTTTGGAATCTGATTGATTGATTGCTTCTGTGGACAGGTGTCTTTTATACAGGTAACAAGCTGAGATTAGGAGCACTCCCTTTAAGAGTGTGCTCCTAATCTCAGCTCGTTACCTGTATAAAAGACACCTGGGAGCCAGAAATCTTTCTGATTGAGAGGGGGTCAAATACTTATTTCCCTCATTAAAATGCAAATCAATTTATAACATTTTTAACATGCGTTTTTCTGGATTTTGTTGTTGTTATTCTCTCACTTCAAATAAACCTACCATTAAAATTATAGACTGATCATTTCTTTGTCAGTGGGCAAACGTACAAAATCAGCAGGGGATCAAATACTTTTTTCCCTCACTGTAGCAAGGAAGACCGTAAGCAGGTAGTCATCTTCTCCCCGTTTTGGACTGGTGAAAATATCTGTGTGGAGCTTTGAGTGTTCCACAGGTTTTCCGTTTTCCTCGTTTATGTCTAAACACTCAATAGATTCAGCCACACGTCGCAATGCAGGACCCCTCTTGAGAAAGTGTTTAAAAACTCTGCGAGGCTTTCCTGGATGAGTAAAGGACATCATTATTATTATTATTATTGCAATTGGCACTTGGCACCTTCCCTGGAGCAACGGCTCGCACGCATTTCTTCATCGTGTCTTTTAACGTTTATTTTCTTTCGCTCATAAAATTATAAGCAAAGTTACTCAGGGGGCTATCACAATTTCAGAGCACTTAGCAGGGTTCAAATATGGGCACAGCTGCCCACGATTAAAGGAGTTTCTCAAGTGCAGCAATGTGATGGTTTCAGCCAGGTCACAAACTACAACACAAAAAGAAATGTTTTCCCCCTACAAGTTTGGCTAATTTCAGCAGAAAATAAAACACAAATATGCTTTGATATGCAATGAATATCCCATTTGCTGGGCATGTAAAGGACGTCTCGAGTGTGGATCGAGGTCTATTATATTTAAGTGAATTCCCACGTAATGCTGTGAAGTTCTCTTCTGGGCTCATGCTGTCACAGGGTGACACACCGTTAGCTGTGAGAGTTCTGAACGCAACTCCTCACGACATTATGCCAATAGCATTTCATTATAATGGTAAAAAAAATGGTTCTGCAAAAAAGAAGTTTTACTTTTCAGTTTAAACAACATGTAGTAGTAACTGACAAGGCACAAACGCATCATGCACATATGTATAATAAAAAGTGATCATTATTCATGGCAATGGCGATGCATTTCAGTATATTGCAGCGCAAATGCAACGTTACCATTGCACAGCAAAACATTACCCCAGATTTGTAAAGGCACCCAGTCCTTACTTTTCAGGTAGAATTTTGCAGGCAGCGCCCCGCTCTCCGTCACAGGCACCAGCGCAGCCAGCAAAAGAGCACATGCTAGGGCACCCATCACTTTGCCGCCACCACCACCTCACGGCACCCGCACGCCGCTGATGCTCACTGCTGCACGGGCGCCTTTACGGGTGATAAGTTCACGGTGCCACGGTGCGGTTTGGATGAGCACGCTTCTTCACAAACCCTCGTCACATCGACGAGCGTCCCCGCCGTCAGCATCCAGCTCCGAGCACAGGCGACCGGTTTCATAAAATCCCCAAGCGAGGTCGTTTGCGCACGACCGCTTCGCTGGGGAAGCATCAGAATTGGCGAGCGCCGCCACCACCACTGCAGTTAAGAATTGTGAAGCAGTGCTCCGAAACTTTGGCTGCCCCCCCCCCCTTCGTCAACTCGGGCTCCTACCCTGCCTACCTCATCGGAAACCCCTGCCGATGCAACAGCCACCCACGCAGAACAGCAGCACGCCACGTGGCCTCCGATGGGAGGCTAAAACGCACACACAACACAAGGCACAGACTGAAGCAATTTTAAGACATGCGAGCGCTCGATGAGGAATGTAGCGATGCTGGGTTAAAACACCGGCGGACTGTGGATTAGGGCTGAGACAAGCGAGCGGCAGAGCCAGTTCAAATAAGCCTTGTTTGCCACCGAGGTGCTAATTAGGAGCTTTCCCAGAGCTGTGCGGCAGCACGCAAGGCATTCCATGCGGGTGAGAACAGAAGCCAAGGCCACTTAACTGTTTTCGTGGGAAAATTCTACCGGTAACTATACATTCAGTCGTGTACTTTGACGATGTATTTATACGTGGAAGTGCAAGACCAAAAGCAGCTGGAAAAAATATATATATCATGCAATGTTTTATCGTTAACAGAGTGTGGCGATTCGACTCAGCGCTTTGGGCCGCAAGGTTTGGGGGATCGCGCAGACGTGTTAAAATTCCCAAACTCAGTGAGCGAAAGGCAACTGAAGAGTCGTCAAGCAGATGGGCGATCTGCAGGACATTTGAAGGTTCTCGTGAGATTGACTGGGCAGAGTGTGGCAGCAGTAGGTGCTACCTGCCTCACCTCTTCACAAAGGTGGTGCCACCTACACCTCTCCCAGATCCTGCGTCTTTACATGAAATCCCAAAAGACTCTAAAGTATGACTCAATGGAGCAGGGACGGCAGAGGAGACGGACAATAATGCAAAAAAAGACTTGAAAAGGTCAAATGCTGATGAGGAATGCCCACTGATTTATTGAGTCGTGTTTTTCGGGAAATTGTACGATACCATGAAGAAACAAACCGTTTACATTCAAATGGTTTTAGCAAATCAAACCATTGATAAATGGAAAACCATAACTTAAAGCAGTTTCAACTATAACCCAGAATTCCAAACCAGTGGTGGAAACAAATGTAAACCTCCACCATAACGACTTGCAATGATCCCTTTTCTTTATAGGTTATAGACTAAGGTATGTATATAGTTCTTTTAAAATATGTTCTAGTGTACTTAAATTTGAGGCAGCATACAGATAACTTGTTTGACAATTCCTTAAAGGGAATTACAATACCATTCTTTATAATGTCAAGATAGCAGCACAGGCATCTATATTTCTTATCGTAGTAGTAAAGTTACTAAGTTTAAAGTCACTTAAATCCAGCATCGTAAAATGATCATACCCATCAAACACAGAGTACAAATCAATGAACAAGGAGAATAATGTCGGTTGAAGTTTATAAGTTAAAAACAATAACCTGGCTGTGAGAACACAAAGTCATGATTTTTCCCTGCAATAGTACAAAAGAAAACAAATCAGTAGGATTGCAATTACTACAATACGTGAAAACATTGCACACAATCTAACTTGCATAAATGTGAGATACATTCACGAGCTAGACATAAATAGGTATAGCCAATGTGAGTGTTATTAGGATGAGCCACGTGTTCCACCACTAGCAAACGTTAAGCAACACATACATGGCCTGCGAATTAACAAATAAAACAAGTTTTATTAATCCCATTCATCCCCAGTGACCCAGGTGCCATTTATCCTGTTGACAAACATGTGCCTAGGGTCTGTGTTCAGCACCGTCCAAAGTAGAGTTTGAAATGTTGTAAATGGAATAAAAGTACCTAAACATTATGGTCAAGTGTCGTCCTTACCCCGCGCCTCGGGTTAGCACGGTTGGCTACGTATGGTGCGAAAGATGTTCAACATACATAATACAAGTGTGCTGCAATAAGCATACTCTACTTGCATCGCCACACTGATGTAATACAAATAGGAGTGTCGATGTAGAATGATGTTACAAGAGGGCTAGAATGAAACGCACTTGGATGTAGGTTTCATGTTCCAATTTACCAAGCTTCAAATGAGTGTCAGATAGCACGGGATGCACAGCCCAGGCACATATCTACACGAGCCATTTGTTTGTCGAGTTGCATCACATCTGGTGTATGCCAACCTGCTTTTGGACTAGGAAGAGACCCATCAGAATGTAACAAAATCGATTAAAGCGAGCGGCATTGTATAATTCTCGACACATTTACGATGATAGCACTGGTTACAATTCCAGACCAGCAGCGCTGGGGAAAAGGGAGGAACCAACGTAGATTCAATAATCTGTTTTCACAAATCTCTTTATATGTTGTAGAGCACATGAATGACGCTTTTTTCAGAGCTCTGGGGAATCCACGTAACCCCAGGCAGGACAAGAGGAATCTCTCCAGTGTGGGCCAAATGGTACAAAAAATGTGCATTTGGTACAGTGCACGATGACACTGAGCAACTTGGCAAGAGGATACCAGACATGGCGAGTCAAATAATTGTCATCTTTCAGCATTGTGATTCGATTAAAAAAAAAACGACGTAATTTAACACTGCGGTGAATTGTAGGCTCTAGAGCCTCCGGAGGTGGGAGTGATGTGAACCTATTATAGATCACACGGAAGTCAAAAACAAATTCCAAAAAACACTCGACACATCAAAATATTTTGTGAGATCAAGAGTCCATATTGCTCAATTAAATGGACTGATCCATCATTCCACTCCGAGGGTTGGCCACTCGGCACATGCTGCGATTCGTTAAAGCCAGGTATGCTGTCCAACAGTTTATCTTGAGCGGAGGCCGTGATTATGGAAGAGAGAAAGCCTAGCACCCCAGCCTGGTTCAATCCACGCCCACCTAACACCCTGCCTCAACATTCAACTGTCAAGAAGGGAGGTGTAGCGAGGCACACCGCACCAGAGACTCAACTGTCATGATTTAGAGTTGCCAGGTTGGAGTTGACAAGGGTCAATACGTTTAACATTGTGAACAATGTAGTGGCCTCTAGTGGCTGGAGGGTTCACATGAAGTCATTACATGAAAAATAATGAAAAACATAAATCTAATATATGCGTTTCGATGCGGGTAATGCAAACTTAAGAACACATTTTTATCGATTTGTTTCAAGTATCACTCTTTTTTTTAATCCACTGCTGGATAAAGGCATTCCTACCATGTTATTTGAGCATACAGCAACACCCTGGTCAATGAGGGTTGGTGAAAGTGGGGGCACAGACGTTGGGGTCGAGTACAGTGGAACAACAAGACAATCTTTACCGCTCGAATAATTTACAAAAAACACCATCGACCGTCCAATGTTCCAGCTTTACAGAGTTTCAAGCTTGGTCCAAGATACGTTTTTTTTTTCTAAAAACGATTTGGTCAGAGACCAACTACTGCATACCAAAGGGTAAAAAGGGAACTTGACAAATAAACATCGGAGCAATCAGACAAACATCACCGAGTGCCGAGGAAACAACGATTACAGCACAAAGGTTTAAGTGCGTGCCCACGGAACGGCCACGCTTACGTTGCCAAATACAATTCGACAATTATATTAATTCTTATTAATACGCAGTCCAGTAGTGTCACACTTGATTCACTTTATAAAAGTCAAACGTGATGAGATTTTTCCCCACGCAACCCATCTTACGCTTTGCTTGCACGCGGAAAGAACTTTATACCGATTCGTGAAACAACACACTTTGAGAATACAATTCAAGCTGGTGATGTGGGTTCCTCAAGAAACCTTGCGAGGATGGTGTCTTGTAACCTCTCTCCCACTGGCACATCCAAACCGCGCTACGGCCATGTCGAGGGCAGCCCGGCATAGCTCGCGAGCGGGCCAGAATGTTTTTCCACCGCATAGAACCCCGGCCGTGCCGCCAACGTCACAAGCAATGCACGAGTCGAGACGCATGCAGACGACGACTTGGTCACGCCGTCTTCTTTGAGTGCACCGACTGATGTCCGATGCGATGGTCCCGTTCATTAGCCCCACCCTTGGCCCTGTTCGGCCCCGAGCCAGATTCACGTCTTGTGAGGCAAGCGTTTCACGACGTAGTTCTGGCTTGCATTGGCAAATAGCCAGGGAAAAAAAAAAAACAACAACTCATGATGAGAGGACCCTGCGCTCGTGCGGTTCGGATGCGCGAGTGTAAAAAGGGCATCTGGGCCCCCCCGGGTGGAGCGAGTACACTCGGCACGAGGACAGCAGCATGGAGGGAAGAGGAGGCAGGCGCTCACCGTCACCCTCCTCCCAGCCAGTGGAGCCATTCCCTGCTGTCCTAGCGGGAGTTCTCTCGCTGGATCTGGTAGCAGCAAGCCTGAAGGGACACAGCAGCCATGTAACCACCCGCCCACCCACACCTGGCAATTTCATTGTTACCATCCAGAGTTGAGAATCCATTTCAGTGCCTCTAAGTGACAGCAAAGGTCACATGAAGCTGTTAGACAAGGCATACGAATAATATATCCTCACACGTACAATCCGATGCATGTTCCTCGAGTGTAATAATTGATTTTAATTGACAAATCGATGCACGCACTCAGTAGCCTCTAGTCCACGGAAATCCTCCACGTGACGAAGTCAACAAAATAATATCTTTGCCGAGGCTCAGTTTTGCCAATAATCGCTACTTCCAGGCACACATTTTCTAATTGTTGGGACTTGCATGTAGAGCCAAGATAGCTAACTACTGGCACATCCAAAAAAAGATACATCAATAAAAATGTGAAGGGCAGGTCTACAGAAATATTTTCCACCGCGTTATATCAGTGAGTCGTGCTATTTTCAAGTAAAATGATTGTTTGGTACTCTTTGGTTCTATTCGGTAAAGTCACGTAGGTAAAAAATACGTGACTTTACCGAATAGAACCAAAGAGTATGGATCCTTGCAGTCACGAAAACTTTAAATCTAGGATTGTTTGGTACTCAGCAGTTTATCACAAAACATGCAATGCAACTTTCCCCAAATCATCGCTATTACATATGCATGTGTAAGGATCTCATGCGTGACTGTCAATTCAGTTGACAGTCACACAATAATAAATCCAGGCCCAAGATGTTCCCCCTACTTAGTTGACACCATCTCC